GCGAGCCCAGCCGCCCTTAAGTGAAAAATCCCTCCAAAAAAAAAAAAAAAAGGGCTGCAGTCCGGTTGGCCTGCTTCGCTCAAGGAAGGCACATGTGCATATGTGTCCAATATCCCAAGAGGAGAATGGAGAACAAAGGAGTTCATTGTGGCCATTACCCTGGAGGGATTATTTCTCATTTTTCATCTCTCTCTCTCTCTGTCTCGCCAGTTAGTGCACATGCCCTATAGCAAAAACTAAAAAAAAGGAAAGAAATTAAATCAGTTTTAAAATATTCTTGCACATAAAGACAAAGACTGTGTGTATTATATATGAGTCCTACAAAGTTTTCAAGGAAAAGATCATATCAATATTGCAAATTATTTTTCAAAGAGTTGATAAGGAGTTGATAAAAAGTGAGCACTCTAGGAACCAGTATTACTTTGATATCATAAGTATACAAATTACTGTTTCAGAGGAAAATTCAATCAATATCATTGATGAACATCAATATAATATGCTGAATAAAATATTTGTAATTAGAATTTTTTCTATCTATATTATCATAATCATAAATGACTAAGTTAGATTTACCCAAGAATTACAAGACAGGGTTATGCGATAAAGTACATTAATATAATTTTCCTCAACTTATTAATGGAGAAAACATATTGTTTCAGTATACCCGAAAGAGCATTTGCTAAAATTCAATACCTATTAATGATTAAACAAAACGAAACAAAGAAAAACAAATCTAGTAAACTAGCAATAGAAAAGTACCTCCTGGGGAACCAGCAGTTAGCGTAATGGCTATGTCGCTGGACTCCCACGTAGTCGATCGTGGTTCGCGTCCTGGACCTGGTGGCTTAAAACTCAAGCCAGGCGCGTGTCTGTGCGTGCCCAAGATCCCGAGAGGAGAATGGAGGAGAAGGGATTGCGGCGTGACCATCCCGCCTGGGGGGTGATTTCTCGCTTTCCCCTATGTCTCCCTCTGTCTGTCTGGGGAGCGCACGCACCCTATAGCAAAAATCTCTCAAAAAAAAAAAGTAGAAAAGTACCTCCTGGATACTTACCTGGCAGAGGAGATATTATGATCACAAAGGTGGTTTTCCCAGGGCAAAGCTTATCCATTGTACTCCAGATGTGCTGACCCCTGCAATTTCCCCGAATGTGGAAAACTCGACTGCATAATTTGTGGTAGTGGGGGACTTTATAGTTGCTTTCCTCTGGGAAAAAAAAGAAAAAAGAAAGAAAGGAAAACAAAAAGAGAGAAAGAAAAAAAGAAAAAGAAAGAAGGAAACAAAAGGAAAACAAAAGAAAGAAAAAAGAGAAAGAAAGAGAGAAAGAAAGAGAAAGAAGAAAGAAAGAAAGAGAAAGAAAGAAGGAAGGAAGGAAGGAAGGAAGGAAGGAAGGAAGGAAGGGAGAGAGAAAGAGAGAAAGGAAAAGAAGAAAGAAAGAAAAGTACCTCCAGGGAAAAGCAGTTGGTGTGGTGGTTAAGGTGCTGGACTCCCACATGGCTTTAGTTCAAGTCTCAGATATGGTGGCCTACCTTCTCACTTTCTCTCTCGCTCTCTCTTTCTCTTTCTGGTGAAAGCATGTGCCCTATAGCAAGTTTAAAAAAAATAATAAAGAAAATAAATAAATGAATATTTTTAAAAAAACCTACCTTTTTAGAAAAATAAAGGATATACATCAAAGGTATATGCCAAAAAGTTTGCTTAGTAATGAAAGATTGGAAGAATTCACTCAAAATAAAAAAATATGACAAGCATTTTCTTTATTAATTGATTCGACATTGTACTCTAAATTCAATGCAGAGTAGAAAGACAAGAGAATACAATAGAAGGCATGAGGACGGGAAAGGAAGAAATAAAACTCATTATGTTTAGATTATGTGATTTTCCACATAAAAAATCTAAAAGGAAATTTATTAGAATCATTAAGAGTAAAACAAGTTGATGTATATGTTGCACAACCTATTTAAAAAAAAACAGTTGCACTTTTATTTATCAGCATCATCAGGAATTGTAACTTTAAGAAATGTTACCATATCAACAATAAATGTACATTTCCTAGAAATAAATTTATAAATATGTATAAAATCTTGATGACAAAAAATACTTAAAGGTGCTTAAACGGATCTAAATAAATGCATAAATGTATTATGTTCATTTATATGGGACTTAATTTTTCCAATATGTCAGTTCTTCTCAAATTGGTCAAAATACCAAGGTTTTCCATGAACCTGGAAAAATTGGATTTTTAGTTAATGCAAATAGAATAATGAAGACATTTCTAAAGAAAAAACAGATGGAGGAATTGTCCTATCTAATATCAAGAATTATAACAGTACAGTGATTAAGACACTGCAGTTTAGTGCAGGGATAGACAAATTAAAATAATTGCATTGAGAGCCCAGAAACCAAACCACTTACAAAGACATCTGAATTATGATAGACCTGGCACTACTGATCAATGGGAAAGACATTGACTTTCAGAAAAATGATTACCAATAAAAAAATTGTAATTAGTGTAATTGAATTCTTCCTAACATTATGCTAAAAAATCAATACTAGATGTATTAAACAGGTAAATATTGAAAGCAAAATTTAAATAATTTTAGAATACAATATAGAATATGTTTAAGTTTTAAATAACTTTTATAACAGTGCATTCTTACATTTTTGTATTTTATTACAAGTTGTTATTATTAATCTCTTTCAATGTCTAATGTATATATTAATCTTTACTATAAATGTGTATGTATAGGAAAAAATGGTCTGTATAAAGTTTGGCCCCAGCCAGTTTCAAGCATCTGTGGAATATTTTGGAATGTATCCCCTGTGGGTAAGAAGGGACTATTATCCCTTGTGAAATAAACAGATATAAGGCTGGTCTAAAAGAATATCTTTATACTAACAAATATTAAAAAACTCTTTAGTAGGAAACTCAAAGAATGAGTCACATGAAAAGACATTGATAAATTACACTTCATTGATGTTAAACATATAGTACCCATATGCTATAATGAAGAGTGCCTACATAAAAATAAAAAAAAGAGAAGCATATTGTGAAAGAAAAGACAGGGAGAAGTATTTCAAGAAAGAAGAAATTCAAATATCCAAAAATTATATAAAACAATATCAACTTCAGTGGTAATTAGGAAAATGCAATTTAAATTAAAATAAAAATTATATATCTCTTTACATCTTACATTTGCCATAGGCAATATTTTAAAGTTTGGAAATAATCATTAGCAAAATTATACACTGCGCACTTTAAGATAATAGTTTGAAACATAATTTGACATGTTATAAAGTTTAATATGCATACAACATAAAAGCCAGAAACATCTCTCCTAGATATCTAACCTAGAGCAGGGTTTCTCTCCCTGTGCATTACCAACATTTTAGGGCAGAGAAACCTTTGTTGAGAAGGCTGTCTTGTACATTGTAGAATGTTTAGAAGACTCCCTGGTCTTTGCTCCGTATGTGCCAAAAGCATGGTAGATAGCATCCCATAGCATCCTATACCTGATCATGATAACTAAAATGTCTCAAGACATTGTGAAATGTGCCCTAGGAGGCAAAGTCAACCTCATTTAAAAATACCTACTTTAGAAATACTCATACATGTAAAAAAAAATGTTTAGAGTACAATAATTTAAAATAGTAATTTTTTAGCTAAGTAAATAATCACTTTCATTACTAGACTACTATACAAAAATAAAAGTAAATGAACTATAGCTGTAGGTATGTATAATTGACCTATTTTTCCATTGGTTGGCCAATAAACAGATCGATAGATTGATAGATATTTTTATGGACATATGTCTCTCACAAACATGAGAGTGGATAAAAGTAGGTAATAAAAGAATATATGCAGTATACTATTTATATCCAGTGTAAAAGAACTTCAGATATGCATACCTATACAGTAAAACTAAACCATCTTGCAAGTTGATAAAAATAATATAATGAATAAATAGTTAATCTGGTTATTATAGTTTTTTTAGTAATTTGGCCAGATAGTGCATATGCTCACTGGGAGAGGCAAAACGAGAGAGACAGAGCGAGAATGAGAAAGTGTCTCTCATGGGAGATAGTCATGGTCTAATACCTTCTCCTCTATTTCTCCCCTCTTTCAGGATTTTAGACATGCAATCACATGTGCCCAGCATATTTTTCAAGCTGCTGGGGCCAACATTTGAACCAAGCCATTGGCCATCTGAGATCAGTCATTTTAATCATAATGCCACCAACTGGTCCACACTGTTAATCTTAACAAAAGGATAGGGCAGAGGGATTTAATTGTGGAGGGGTTACATTGTGGGTTTTAATACTAATAATTAGAAACTTAAGAAATATTGTTAAATTATTTTACAGAAGTAGTTATGGCATCATTTATTTTAACCTTTTTTTTTTTAATTGCCAGAAAGTCATGTATTCATGAGAGAGGGAGAAAGAAAGCACCTCTCCCCAGTGGGGTGTAGTCAAGCTGCAATAGTTTTCCCTGTATTTCTCCATCTTGTCAGGATTTGGAGCACATACACACACACTGCCTATGTGTTTTTCAAGCTGCCAGAGCTGGGATTCAATCTACAGTCACCAATACGAGATCTGCCTCCCTGTGCACAGTTGCACTATGGGATGGCCCAAGTCTTCTTAAGTCTTAACTTACATTTTGTCTTTTCTTTTCTTTTCTTTGTATAAAATATTTCATAATTTTAAAAAGTACCTGGAGCCAAGATAAATTAGAAAGATTGAGATTGGAGGCAATTTAATATGTGGTTCCTATACATCAATATATGCCAACTGTGTACCAGTAGCCCTTTAGAGATTTATTTTGATATAATATACAATGTGATAAATGCACTAATACATTTGCAAAAAAAATTCCTATACTGTCTTTTTTAATAAGTCAGGTAGGTGTAACTAGGAGTTTTTAGAAAGTTCGCAAAAATGCATATTATGAAAAATCTGCATTTAAAAAATTAAACACCAAAATAAATTAATACTGACTTGGAAATCATGTCTGAACAGGATCTAGTTTGAGGTGCTAAGAAGCATGAGATAAGTTTGAAAATGGTCCTATCACAGCAATATGAATTCTGCTAAAATCGAAGCAAGAACAAACATTAAATATATGATGCAACATGGCTGGAAGAAGAATGTAATTGCTGATGCTTTATGGAAAGTTTATAGGGAAAGTGCCCCTCTCCCAAATCAAGCATTTACGAATGAATAGGTCATTTTTAAGAAGGCACAGTATGATGATAAAAATGATATCCACAGCAGCAGACCATCAGCATCAATTTTCGAAGAAAAAATTAATCTTGTCCATGCCCTAATTGAAGAAGAACAACCATTAACAGCAGAAATAGCCAACCCCACAGACATCTCAACTGATTCAGCTTACACAGTTCTGGCTGAAAGTGTAAAGTTGAGAAAACTCTCTGCTCCAGATCATATGCAAGCAAGAGCAGACCATTCAATAGATTTATCAATATAAGACAAATGGGAAACACAATCCAGAAGCATTTTTTCTTTTATTTTAATTTTTCCCTCTATTTTCTTATTATTTTTAAATGCAAGCATTGTACATCTTTACAACATACAAAATGAATTTTTCCAGCATGAATACATTGTATATTCATCCAGTCAAAGATACTGCCATATACATTATCAGAAGCATTTCATCAAAGAATTGTAACACAAGATTATACATGGTTTTACCAGTACAATCTGAAGACAAAGCATAATCAAAGCAATGGCAACCAAAAGGTGGAAGTGGTCCAGTCAAAGTATTGTAGAAGCAGATCAGTCAAGATCATAGGTCATGGCAATAGTTTTAGGATGTTCAGGGCATTTTGTTTGTTGACTTCCTGCAGGTCCAAAGAATGGATAGCATCTGCTTACTGTGAAAATGTTTTCAGAAAGTTGCTCAAAGCATTAGCAGAAAATCCCTTAGGGAAACTTGGCATGATAATCTTTCTCCACCACATTGTTGCTCATACTTATTCTTCTTCTTTTTTTTTTTCTTTTTTTTCTCTTCAAATTTATTTATTTTTTACATTAATTCACTATACATCATTACAACATACAAATGAATTTTCCATCCAAAATATACTGTGTATTGGCTCAATCAAGCACATCAACATACATGTCATCAGCACATAATTTTCCAATTCTTATGTCTTGTATACTTTGTTTTTATTTTGCCATCCTTG